ATTGAGACAGGGTCTCCCTGTAGCCCCAGCTGACCTGGAACTCAGTATGTAGACCAGGCTGGCCTTGAACTCACAGAGATCCACCTGCCTCTGCCTCCTGAGTGCTAGGACTTCAGGTGTGCGCCACCACGCCCGGCTTTCTCTTTATTCTTTTAATATCCATGCCATACAAATTTTCACACACACCCCATGAGAGAGAGAGACACACAGAGAGACAGAGACAGAGACAGAGAGACAGAGAGACAGAGACTTGTAGCTCAGAGATCTTTTGTTTTGAATTTTTGTGTATTTCATACAAAATATCTTAATCAACTCCCCTCCATTGGCACCTGCCCATGGCCCCCCCACTAGAATTCCTACATTCTGTCATTTGTGTTGAGGCCTATCATGTCAAGTTACTGTCCCCAGATGCCCCTAAGTACAGCTTCATTCACTGAGGTCTAGGCAGCCTATCTAGAGTCCTTCCTGTTAAGAAAATTTCCTCATCCAGCAGTAATCAGCTGCCAGTAATTCTTCAACTAAGATTGGGGCCTGCTGTCTACAGTTTTGAGCTGGGTTTTTGTCTGCTTGAGTTTGCCTGGGTTTTGTACACGCTGTCACCATTGCTGTAGGTACATATGAGAAGGGTCCCAGGAGCCTGTAGAGTTCTCTTCATCTCTTGTTCTATGTTCCGTGAGTCTTAGGTATAGAACTTGCACCCTAGATGTGCCACTTAGGCTTGGGCAGTTCAGAGAGAATCTGTGTGACCAGTTGTGGAACTCTGTAATAATTTCTCTCTGTTGCAAAAGAAGCTGCTTCGATGACTGGGGTACTCGTCTATAAATTTAAGGATCCATATTTTGCACATAGTAAGAAATTACATTTGTCAGCTCGAGAGATGGCTCAGTGGTTCAGAGCACTGACTGCTCTTGCAGAGGGCCCGGGTTCTATATTTGAAAAAAATAATTACATTTGTCTAGGAATGTGACAGCATTGGGATTTTCTCTGAGACCTGTGACCTTTCCAGTCATGTGTATTTGGTTATGTTTACAGTACCACACATGAGTTTTCTCCCATTGAGTGGGCTTTAAGTAATGGTAGCTGTTGATTAACCCCAAGATAAAAGTGCCAGTACTGCACCAGTGTTATTTGCTGTGCTGGTCATTGGTGTGGTTTTTAGGCCTTGAAGCCGAGGTTGGACCATCGATTGTTGTTCCTCCTCAGCAGCTTGTGTAGTGCTCTATAAAACTATGAGAGCTGCCTTCAGAGGAGGTGGATTCCAGGTCAGCTCCAGCTCTGTTGCTCCAAATCCTGTGTCCAAAATATGTCCTGTCTTCAGCAATAGGGTCTTATGTTCAAGTTCTGGGAGGCGATCAAGGACTGTGAAAATAGCTTGTGTAATTTTGGGACTTGAACTACCGTGGCCAACAATTCGGAGGAAGGTTTCTCCTGTGTGGTAATGTTTCTTGTATGTAGCCTTCAGCTACACACATGGATTTAGATAGAGATATTGTGTATGTAATTTTTCAGTAGGATTTTGGACTAATATGATTCTTTCTGGTTTTTTATACTGGCTAGGCATTATTTATCTCCCCCCGCTCCCTCCCCCCGTTACCCCCTCTCTCCTTGTCTAACTCTCCATCCACACCCTCTCCATTTAAAGTGTTCCCTTTCTCCCCATTTCTCCCTTGATAATTTCTCTCTGCTATGGTTCCACCTCTCTTGAGCTCCTTCTTTCTCTTTATCCCTGTTATTTCCTTATATAACCCTCCCATTTAACTGCCCCCATTGTACACATTTCTCCCTTAGGAGCACCTGTCTCCTACTTTTCTCCCTCACACTCCTTCCTCTTTACCTTTCTGGTTACTTTCCATTTTCCTGGCTCCTGCAGTTACATCAGGATGTATACTCACATATAAGGATTTAGTGCTAGTATCCACATATAAAAGAGAACATATGTCGTTTGTTTCTGAGTCTGTGTTACTTCACTTGGTTCTATCCATTTACCTGCAAATTTCACAGTTTTGTCTTTCTTTACCACTGAGTAGAACTCCATTGTGTAAATGAACCACATTTTCTTTATCCACTTGTTAGTTGAGGGACACTTAGGTTGCTTCCATCTCTTAGCTACTGTGAAAACAGCAGAAACAAACATGAATGTACAATTGTCTCTGCAGTAGGCTAAATCCTTTGGGTACATGCCAAGGAGTGGTATAACCAGGTCATATGGTAGGTTCATTTTTAGTTTTTAAAGAAGTCTTCATACTGCTTTCCATAGGAGTTGCATGAATTTTCAATCCCACTGGTGGTGAATGTGCGTTTCCCTTTACCCACATTCTCACCACCATTTGGTTTCATTTGTTCTCTTGATGTTAGCCAGTCTGACTGAGGTAAGATAAATTCTTAAGGTGGTTTTAATTTGCATTTCCCTAATTACTAACAATGTCAAACACTTTTTAAGATGTTTCTTAGCCATCTTTATTTCTTCCTTTGAGAACTCTCTGTTTAGGTCTTTAGCCCGTCTTTTAATTGGGTCATTTGTGTTCTTGATTCTTCGTTTTTTGAGATCTTTGGGTTCGTACATCCTGGGTGTTAAACCCCTGTCAGACGTGTTGCTGGCCAAGATTTTCTCCCACTCCCGGTTTTCTCTTCACTTTCTTGGTTGTTTCTTTTTCTGTACAGAAACTTTTTAGTTTAACAATTTCCCACTTGTTGATTGTTGGCTTTATTTCCTGAGCAACTGATGTCTGATTTAGAAAACCCTTTCCTACACCTTTATCTTTTGAGTTACTGTCAATGTTTTCTTCTAACAGTTTCAGAGTTTTGAGTTTCACATTGAGGTCTT